AAAATCCAAGAAGATAGTGGACGAGTGCCTAAAGAACATTTTCTATATCTTCAGAAATGGGTGTTTTGATTTTATATAGAAGGAGGGATGCTACAAGGTAAACCAATGGAAAAGACAAGAAGGTATCACAGCGAAGCAGAAAAGACAAAAGACAAGACCAGGAAATACATGCAAAGGAGAAGAAAGTACAAACTGCCCGGTAGGATTAAGAAGACGCCCGTCTAAAGATGAAAGAGAAGATAGACTAAAGAGAAGTTAGCAGAAAGCAAGAGAGGTTAAAAAGAGGTGGGATGTTGCAATTGAGGAGATGATAAATAATGGTTCGAAGCCGTTCTGGTTTGGCTCTTGACGGGGCTGACAATGTCTTCTGCTCTATGCGTAGAGTAGTGTGACAGGTCGCATCTAGGTACTCGAGAAGCAACCGGATGATGCCGGACCTAGTTATTTTAGTTTAGATAAGTAACATGTGTAATAATATATGTAAAAGTAATTATCTAGTAATAAAGGTACCGACAAGACTGTCAAAGAGTTAAAAAAAAAAGCAGATTCCATGTAGTACTAACATATTAGCATGCATTTTTATGCATTTTGAGAAAGTAGTGACTACTAGAGTGGTAATTAAAATTGGATAGTTCAACTAATTACTAATACTATATTAATCAACAAATCAACAAAGACTCTAAAACCTTGAGGTGAAAGGCTAGAAAGAGGCGTGAAAAGGCTTGGTCTGTTATCAGATCTTGCTACGGTGCAACTGAAGGTTAAGATAAGTATCTGGGTCTAGTGTATTTATATTGGTGGTCTTGGTTTAATAATAATATTCTTTCTTTCTTTTTTAGATGTAGTGTGGCGGGTTTTAATATTTGAATTTAATCATTAAGTCACTTAACAATATCATGTAATTACGGAGTTACGATTAAATTTGAAATATCGATATTATGAGGACAGAGAACCTTATAAAGATTTACTAACAAAGTATTTATTAACATGAGAAAAACTTAGAGTCAATACTTCTACTCAAATTTCAAAGGTTAGAACTCAACTAAGTTACTTTATTACTAAGTGAAAAGCAGCATTTTTATATCTTTTACACCTTTATTACATACAGAGTAAACTTCTTTGCTAAATCTATTTAGTTTACTAAATCATGACTTTCAAATAAGGTAAGGTTTCTCTTTCACCTTTCATTTTTGGGTATTACTATTCTGGGATACTAACGCTTAAACTTTTTTTACAAAAAAAGAAAATAAATAATGAAAATGAAAAAAAATAATACTAATAAAAAAAAGAAAAAAAAAAAAAATAGATAGAGGGCAGAACTAGAGCCTTTCACAACTTGTATTTTTTTTTTATATAAAATATTTTTCTGTATACTAACAAAAGGTACTTGGGTACATAATGCCACAACTAACAAAAACACATTTTGGTACATAATGTCATAACTAGCGAATAGTAAATCACATTGTTAAGCACCAATGGTAATTTGATATCTTTATAATATTATATTCTAGCCTATGATAATCTTAATTCATTTTTTTAGTTATATTCTAGCCTATGATAATCTTAATTCATTTTTTAGATTGCTTTGTAGATTTATTGTTAGTCTTAATTAGCACTTTTGTATAAAAATTCTTCCCACTTTCCTGACAAATTTCACACAATAGATAAATTTGCTTAAAACGTTCCTTCAAAGATTGAGGTGGAGTTATTAGATCATTATTATTTCTACAATAGTAGCAAATTAAATAATTTCTCACTTTGCGACTTGAATAATACACTATTTCAATCAGTGAATTACAGTTAATTTGTGTACGTATGAATATCATTTCTTTTAAATAATGATTATCAGAAAAAATCAGTGCTTTACATAAGTATGAATATGACTCCAATGCCTGTTAATAAGCATATTGTTCATCATCAGTCAAAGATTTGTTGCTATATACATAGCGATGTTTTTGATAATTTTCATAATTAATATAATCACGAATTTTTTTTGCAATTAGAATAGTTTTTAGAATAGATTCAGATTTTGCCTGGAACTGTATATATGTTGGCCTATATTCTTCAGTTGTCTTGGTTCCGTAAACATGTTGAAAGGTTGTATAATGGTTTATATTTTCTAGTTTTAAAGTTTATTAATATATGTAATTATATACATTAAATTTGGTAATAATAATTTTACCTTTTGAATGGATTGGGTTTGAAAGAAAACTTAATTTACAAAATTCACATTGCGGAAGCCAAATTGGTTTACAAAATAGGCAGAAAGTATCATTACATTTTTTTATCTTTAAAAAATATAGAATATCTTTGTTTTAATTAGTATTTTAAAACTTAAAAATTACCTTGAACTCCATGATATTGAAAGTTTACATACCTGAAAACTATATACACATGTTTGGCAATGAGTATTTATGAATTCGATTAGAGCTGGATGATGGCACATTTGTGCTTGTATGGTTTCTTCAATTTTTAAAGTTAAATCTATGTGTAAAATCGACTATTCAAAAAATAATTATTTGAGTGATGCCAAATAAAAATTGTCATATATATACTAGTGTTTCGATCCTATTTTTGATAGGTCTAGATTTTATTAAATCTGGATTGAATCTGTATTAAATTGTATATAAAGCTAGCTTTGAGTATATCCTTAGTCCGTTATTTAAATTCTTTGACTAATCTGAGTAAAAAATCTCTGATTTGAATATTTATTAGAATTTATGAATCCAGATGATCAGATTTAGGATCGAAACACTAATTATTACACACTTGATAGTTTATTTTATTTGATTTAAATATAAATAAAAAGTTAAATATTTACTTTAAATACTTTAGTAATAGCATCCCGACTTGCAGGAGTGTAGCATTTAAATTTCTTATTTTTTAATCTAAGCCGTTCAGTTCAGTTATTTAATATTTCTTGAATACCTGCAATACTTTCTTTTAATTCAGATTCTAGTTTATTGGATTCTTTAGCTTTTTTACGTATATCACCTAGTGTGTTTACTATTCCAAATAAATTTTCTGATTCCAAACTCATCAAATCATGCTTGATTGCTACGTTTTGAAGACCTAAATTCAAAGTACTCATAATTTGTTCTGCGGGATTGGCCTAGCTATGATTAGAAGCTATACAAACTGCAACAAGTAGATCAAAATCTCTACAGAGAAAAAGACTAATTAGTGCAATTTGTACAGAACCATAATTACAATGATAATTAGGACCTCCATCAGTGTAAAGGTATAGAATCGGTAGTATTTCTTGATTTATATATTGAATTTTTAAAGTATTTAAAATTCAGTTGAATGTCTAATAGCAGTACTTGGTTCAAAAATTGTATCTTTGTATGATACAAACACTTGACCATCATAAAATAATTCAGAAATATCATTAGGAATAAAATAAAAAAAATTACAGATGGTATTAGGGATAGTTTTGAGAAATCATGATCAGCAGCAGCCAAAGTGCTTTCTTGTATCACTATTGAGCATTGATTTCGTATGCCTGTAGAAATTGCAACATCTTCACTGATAGGAATTTTATGCTTGTCATCTGCTAAAATTAAACAGGTCTATTGACAGTACTGGATACAAAATTCTCCAAGATATCAAAAAAGTGCCACACAATAATGTGCATCCTCACTATTTTTTTGAAGCATCCGCCCTTGTACTTTAAATTTTATATTAAATCTACCTGTATAATACATTGCCTGTGTTATAGTAGCATTTGTAGAACAAAATTGAAGACAAATCTATTCATATGATGGAATATTAATATTGGAAGATAAGGGATCATTATAAACAGCTTTTAACCTATCCACTATAGTTTCATGAAGCTCATGAATTGACAAGGCCAATAGTATATATAGAATAGTCCCATGTCATCTTTCATTTACTGCAAGTAAGTTCTATATTAAAATATATTAAAAAAAAAGTTTTTATAATAAAAAACAAAAAAAAAACAAGATTTTTAAATAAAAAAAAAGTGACAAATATAAAATCTTACTTGCTCATTAAAATAAGCTTCTATTTCATCCCAGAATACATCAAATTTTGTTTCTCTAAATCTATTGTTTGTTTGCAAATCAAAGATAATATTGGAATCTGCCAACGTTAACATTAATCAAATCTTTTTTCTATATCATGACTAATTTCATCTGATATTACAGCAGCATTTCTGGTAAGATCAAAGTGAAGCATCTGTAATACTGCTGGTGAAATTTTCTGAATATAGGAATACTATTTTATAGATATAAAAAACTATATATTATATAACATATTAATTAATGCTTAAATATCAGTTGTTATTATTTTACCTTATCAAGTACATTCTTTCACATTTGTCGTGTAAAATAATGAGGCAACTCTTCATGAATCTTAGCTAACATATGTGCTTTTAACATTTAATCTTGCCTATCATTCAACACTTCATTTTCTGAAATTCTCCATATGTAGTTGATCATTTCTAAATAATTGCCTGATAATATCTAAAAATCCAAATAGCCAAATTAGATATAGCATGAATTATTTAAAACTAGCATGAATTATCTAAAATATTTTCAGATTGAAAAATACTAACCTATATATACCGATTGGAAATGTAAGCTATAACTCTTTTATAAATCGGTACCGTTCTATAGCTTCATTTAGAAGATATTGTTGAATTTCAACATGTTCAAAAAATGATTTTTCAAATAAAAGATCATCCAATTGAATATATTCATCTTTAAGTTGGTGAGGTTCACAAGCACTAACTCAGTACATAGAGCTGTTATTTCCAGGATTGTGGGCACTTTTATTGCTATGATGAAGTTCATTCATACTAGCTGCAGTTGTAATTAAATAATCTGAATATTTTTTTAGAATTTCAATTAAAGAAAGAACTTCAGGCATCACTTGATTTCACCTATCCTTACTTGCCTATGGTTGACTAATAGAAATCTCAAGAGAACTTGCAAGATGTGCAAGTTTTTGTTGAGTTAGTAGATTTTTTTTATAGTAGCTAGTATAATAATACTCATCATATGATCCACCATTTTGATATGTTTTCAACTATGTAAAAGAGCTGGTAGATAATATGAACTTGCACGTAGTGTTGAAAGATACAGGTCAATATACCAAAGTGCATTCACAAGACGATTTACAAATGCTTTTCCTACTGTATTATAAGAACCATACTTCCATTCAACCTGTTGAACTTTAAAGAGTTTGATAATTTTATTGTAAAGTCAATTATAATTATTAAGCTCAGTACAACAATGGGGAAGTAAAGGTCATCTTGAATTAGCTATTAAAATGCTGAAAGCATCTGGTTTGTCTTGAGTTGAAACTAATATATCTAAGTTTATATTAGAAACGAGACAAAATTTGACCTGCATAAAACCCAAAACTTCAAGTATTTTTAAATCACCATCTAACCCATTGTCTACTTCTCACCAGTCTTCAGATTTTTCTCATTTAATAAAAACTTTCATCTCCCTATTATCATATTGTCCTAATGTAGTTATATTAAAGAGATCAAAAAATTTATTTGTAAACTCCATAACATTATACGCTTAGGGATAACGCATTTAACACCTTCGTTAACCTGAACTAAAAGATAAAGCATTTTTTAAAAAAATTGACTATGGATAACAAAAAAAAAAAGTATTTTAAACTGTTTTTTTTTTCTTTTTTTTTTTTTTTTTTTGGTATTAAGGTGATCTCTTTGGTTTGGGGAACTTTTTATTAGAGTATAGACAAAGTTTTATATGTAATTACAACGATGATATATCAAGCTACACGTGCACCTTTTGAGTGCCTATTTAAGTAGCCTGCCCAAAGGTTCTACACTATCTGCCGTACCTGTGCCTCAACTAGGGAGTACCCATTTAAACAATCTGGTTCTAACTATCTCCATTAGCCCTCTAACCCAATAGATTTCCTCACTATTCATATGCTAGATTTTGGTATCACCCAATATGGATTTCGCACCCTACCTTAGAACACTTAACTAT